TACCTCTATGCTATAAAATTCCAGGTAGTAAATAGAATACAAACAGAAAATGAATGATCATTCTCGTTTCCTGAATAATCTGTATGAGACTTGCATATATGGTCAGTGTCAATGAAGCACAGTAAGCAACCTTGGAGGCAGTCATTGGAAATCTGTGTTCATGGGCTCTGTGGTTGGTGATGCAATGTCCTAAGTGATGCGGGAACCACAATTAAATAAATGGTATTAGGACACTCCGAACCATAGCCAGTTCCGAGGAGCCATGAACTGTGAGTGATGACACTATTGCTACCTTTCTTAATGCGTGGGATATACAAAATTATCTAGGAATGGTGCAGTTGACGAGAAAAAGCATGAAGAGATAGTCCTTGGATCTAAACAGGAAGAGATGGTAACTGCACACCATGGTGAACCTTCCCATGCCCTGATTAGATAGTAACAAATATATAAACAACTCTTCTCTATCATTCTAAATCTTCATTGATAAATCACTTTGCTTCCATGGGCCCATGAATTTTATAATACATCTTAAAAAGATTATTTATTTATTTATTTGAGAGAGTGAGACAGAGAAGGAGCAGGGGGAGTGGCAGGCTCCCCCCCTGAGCAAAGAGTCTGTTGGGTTGGGGTCTCTGGGAATGCAGGAGGAACAATAGAAATGACGGCTGGGCCGCCATCTTCCAGCACTCCCCCCTTCCTTAACCCTTGACTCTCCCACCAAAAGGATGCATGCCCAGGTCCCATCTCCACAGGTAACCCGATACCTATACAGGAAACAGGAGCATCAGGTCCCACCCCCCCCACCCCCGCCCACCTCATACCCTCCAATCACCAAATACCTTACCATGTATGGATGTGAGCCCATGCCCTGCCTTGGCCCCATAAAAGACCCGGCTGACTCCCTCCCAGTGTGATTTCCCCGACTCCCCTCTCCAGAGTCTCTGAACCTCGCCCGAGAGTGCCGACCTCCTCCCTTCTCTTGAGCCCCATCGCCAGAGATGCCTTTAATAAGTCTTGCCTTGCGCCTACCTCATCTAGTGTTGTGTTTACCTCGCCTGTAAAACTTTACAGAGTCCAATGTGGGGCTGGATCCCAGGACCCGAGCCAAAGGCAGATGCTTAACTGACTGAGCCACCCAGCGCCCCTATGATACATTTTAAAATCCAAATGCAAAAAATAGTTGCTTGGATCCTCAAATATCCCAGAGGTGGCCCTGGGGGTGGAGATCTAATGAAATGCAGAACTAGTGTTCTGTTTATCGTGGATTTATCAAGCATTTACTTTATGACACATTTTTTTATTCTTAATTATGAAATGTTGAAAGCCCAGAAAATATACAAAATAAAATAACAGCCATAAATCCACCACCCTAACATTTTGCTAATATTTGCTTCATATTTCTTTTTTGATAAGTAAAACTTGATGGATACAGTGAAAACGTGCACCCACCCTTCTCCCCTTTCCCTTTCACAAAGGTAGCTCCTGTCCTGATACTGAGGGGTAGTTTGAGAATTGATCCCAGGATCAACAGCAGCTGTAGGGCAGTAAGGAAAGTGATACCAGGAAGGAAAGGAAGTCAGTGGAGAGTGTGACAGTGAGTGGGTTATTCCTGTGGGCAGCTGGGCTCAGTCCCAAAAGGGACTTTAGGGGACGGTGTAGACGGGGCCCAGAGCTGCTCCACTGGGAGCTGAGGAGATTAGAATATTTACCTGCCAGCCTTCCTGTGTTTTATTGTAAAGTTCCTGACACTCAGGCCTGCCCTGAGGCCTGACCTCAGGGTGGGTGTGGCTGACCATTCTCCTGGTCCATCCTTTAGGCGGGTTTTGACTGCAAGGAAGTGCTGGAAATTTCAGAAAAGGGAGTGCAGAGGGAGTAGGAGCGAGGCCGCAACAGCACCCACTATAGCCAGCATTATTACCCTACGTGGTGTACTTTCCACATTTGTATGTATCAAAAAACAATATATCGTCCTGTGGGGTTTTAAATTTTAATGAATGGCATCGTATTGAACGCATTCTTAGGCAAATTGCTTTGTTTTTAAACTCAAAATTATATACTTGAGATTTATCCATGTTGAAATATGTAGATGGAAATAATTTATTTTAGCAGCTCTATTGTGTTCAAGTATTTGCATAAATCAGTTTATTTATCCATTTCCCCATCAATTTCCATTTTTTTTTTCTGTTCCTATGACAATGCAATGTCCGAGGCATCTTCCTCTCAGTGTGAGCCCATATTTCTCTGAGATTCCTGAGAAGAACTGTTGGTCATAGGGTAATTCTATCTTCAGTTTTACTGAATATTCCAAATTGTTCCTAAAATATTTGTGCCAATTTATACTCTCAAAAGCAACATAGGAAAAATTTCTTTGTCTTCGCACATCAGTGCTGAGATTTATTAATTTTTGCTAGTATTATGGACTAAATGGAATTTTTTATTATTATGTTTAAATTTGCATGTTCCTTATTTTAGGTGACATTGAGCATAGTTTCTTGTTTATTGGGCATTTGGATATTCTTTTTCATGGATTTCTTATTCATCTCCTGTGACTTTATTTTTTATTGTGTTGTTTTTATTTTTCTTAGCAATTTGTAGAAGTTCTAAACATCTCCTGGGCATTAGTACTTTGTCAGTTACAGATGGGAAACAGACATCTTTTTCTATCTATCCTGTGGCTTATCTTGTCACATTGTTTATGGTTTTTTCTTATCATAAAAATTTTAATTTTAATGGAGTTAGATCTGACAGTACCTTCCTTTACGGGTTGTACTTTGGCTTTATATTTATGAAATCTTTCCTTATCGTGTAGTCATAAATGTAACCTATGTTCGTATCTAAAGGCATTAGTTTCGTTTTCCTATGGTTCTTCAGTAACCCATCCCTTTCTCTTTGACTTATACAGCCTCTTTGGACCTATACCAAGTTCTATTTTTATATTTGGGTCTGTTTTTAGACTTCTTTTCTGTTCATTTGTCTTGTACTGACTTAAATATTACAGTTTCATCATAATCTTTCCTAAGGAATGAATCCACCTTTAGATTTAAGTTTTTCTTGGCTGTCCTTTGGTCTTTATATTCTCCTTGAGTTTCAAGATCACCCACTTATGTGAAATACTCCTTTAGAATTTTGAATAGAAGAATAGTACATTGAATTTATGAAATAATTTGGGGAGAATCATCATCGTTATATGTTGTCTTCTGTTTTGTGAACTGGATATGTATCCTATAGTTTTTCTTTATGTCCTTTATTGAAGTTTTATAATTCTTCTTTGTATATTCTTCATTAGATTTATTCTTAGATATCATGACTGCTTTGTTGCTATTGTAATATCTCTTCTAAAAAATTACTTTGATTGTTGGTAATGTAGAGGAATGGTATTTGTACAGGTGGCTGTGAGTGTGTTTAAACTAATAATTCAAATTACGTAGTTGTTCTAGGTCTATTCATGTTTTTCTTTCTTTTTTGGTCCATTTCATATCTTATATTTTTTTCTGAGAAATTATTTAATTTTCTAATTTTTCAGTGTTATTGGTTTAAATTTCTCATTTTCAAACCACTGTATACAGATGTACTTTTTGAACATTCCTAATATCTGCCTATTCTTACTATCTTTATTTGTGTCAGGACTCTTTTCTTGTGCATCTTACAAGAAATTTTAGGGCACCTGGCTGGCTCAGTGGGTAGAGCATGACTCTTGATCTGGGGGTCATGAATTCAAGCCCCATATTGGATGTAGAGCTTACTTAAAAAAAAAAAAAAAAAGACTAGACAACCATGCAAAATAAAGCTGGATATCTTTATATTAAAAAGCAGAAATTTGTATTTTATTAGTCTTTTGAATGATCCAGCTTTTGATTTCTTTGCTACTTGTTTTATATTTCATTTTTACTTTCATGTTCATTATTTTCTTCTAGTTTCTCTGAGTTGAGGCTTTTGTTTTGTTTTATTTCATTTTTTCTCCTAACTCCTTGATTTGGATTCTAAGCTTACTTGAATCTTTCTTCTTTTTTGATGTATTCTTTTAATACTGTATATTTCTCTCCAAATGTTGTTTTAACATTATACCATAATTTTTGGTATGTGGTACTTTTATTATCTTGGTTCTCATTTCCATTATGATATCATCTTTGACCCATGAATTATTTTAAAAAATTTTAAAAGTCTAGATATTTATTTTTTTGTTATTTATTTTTAAATTACAGCACTATAGTCAGAATATACTGTCAGTAAAATAGAGGTTCTTAGATGATAGAATACATATTCTTAGATTTGTGGCTTAGTATATGGGAAAACTTAGAAAAATGATCTATGTTTGCTTGAAAAGAGTAAGCGGCATTCACATCTTCCCTATCTTTACTATTTTTAAATCGATTTGGTTTATCAATTACTGAGGAAAATATGCCAACATCTCCTACTGTGATTGTGGATTTGTTAATTTCTTCTTGTAATTTGGTCACATTTTGTTTTATATATAAGAGAAGTTGTATTATTATATATGTAATATATATTATTACATAAGGGAGGTTATATTATTATATAGTTGCTATCTATTTTTATTTTTATATTTACTGCTATTTGTGACAAATGACATTAAAAATTTATAGTAATGACATAAAGTTTCCTTACAGAATAAATTTGATTTAGCCAAATAGGAGACGATTCAAAGATCTGTCTTGAGTATATAATGGTGCAGGTAGTAAATCACTACGGAAGACAGTCGTGCCCGGGGTAGAACAATGGCTCAGAAGTATACCAACCAGTGTCCCCTTCCACCCACCCAGTGACCCAACAACGATTCTAGAATCACAGTTTCCAGCCCACACCCCTCTCAGGCTTCAGTTCCACATATCCAGTTCTCTCCTTGTCACTTCCTCCTGGATGTCCCGCAAGCCCATCACACTCAGAAACACAGAAACTGAAACACGGAACTGAATCTCTTCCATCCTTGTCTCCCTCCCGCCCCCGAAACACTCACTGTTTCCTCTGGATTCCTCATCTCGGGGCAAGATACCTCTGTCTTCCCGGTCAGTGAAGCTGGAAATTTCAGACCCCTCCAGCTGCATACCAAAACTGAGAACTGGTTGCATGTATGTTGCCTCCTTGATATTTCTTCTAGCTATCCCCTCTGCAGCCTCCTTGCTGCTGTCATGATTGGGGCCGTGCCACCCCTTTCCTGGACCCTCATGCTCTCCCTTTGCTCTCCCAGTCTCTAGACCGGTGCCCTCAAATCTGTTCTCCACCATACTACGATGTTAATTGTTCTACATGGAACTTACATTTTTGTCTCTTCCTTGCATTACACTCTAGGGTGGTTCCCTATCGTTTGTGGGATAAAGTTGAATCCTTGCATGATACATACATGGCGTTTGCCTGCATTTCTCCCCAGCTCTGCCCTGCTTTGTGTCGTAGCCACAGGAATAACTAGCTGTTCCCAAATGACAGCAGGCTGCTCTATGTTTCTGTGAAATTTCTCAAGCTGTGCCCTCTCTCATGAATCCATTTGCTTTCCTTTGTCTACCAAGCAGACACTGTAAGACTCAGCCCAATTGACACCTCCTCCAGGATGCCCTCTCGGTGACTCCCATCAATTCAATGGAACATTCTTCTCTTAGGTACCTCCCATCCCCAGCTGGACTCCTCTAGCTAGACTGTAAGCTCTTTGAGAGTGGGGACAGTTTCCAAATCATCTATTCCTTGTTTGTTGGATGAAGGAAACAATGAGGACTTACTGTGAGGAAACATCTAGCTTCAGCACCAGTAGTTGTCGGGAGTCTCAAGAATGGTCCTTGACCTCTTTGCAAAGTAAGTGAAGCATCCCCAGAACTTCAGAAGCAGCACGGCAGGAGAGGAGCCGAGTGTCAGCTCTTCTCTGGTGATAGGACTGTGGGACTGCAAGGCATTCATGCTGAAGAAAACAACACATCGAAGGAAAGCTTAGTTAAATCATGCCCTGTAGAAATGTGTAGGACTTCCAGGTTGTTTCGAAAGAATGTTTACCTTGTTCAAAATCGACTTAGTAGCCCTTAAAATCATTTTATCATCATTTTCACTAGCAAGCTAAGCCCTGAGAAAGGAAAAAGGCTAATAAATGCTTCCTGAAATAAAAAGTATTGCTTATGATACTAGCCTAGTTCTCAGCAATGCTTTTAACATCAAAGGAACGTTGCTGAAGCATTTTCTCATATTTACTTCCTCCTTCTTTTCTTCCTAATGTCCCTACCTATCTCTCCGTAGATTTAGTTCCAACAGATTTAATAAAAGAGCAGGACTTGGAAGAAGCATTCAGAGGTATGGTCAGGATGAGAATGTAAGCACTTCAGATGGGGCCAAGAAAGGCAAACAGAAAAATCTTGAAAGCTATTCATTTTTTTCTCCTTTATTAGTTTTAATCCAGTTCTAGATTGGAATACAAAGTATGCATCAAGTAATTAGAGGGCAGCCTAATACCTCATTGAGCAGCACTTCATGAGTTGTTAAATAGCCGGTGAAAAAGTTTGGAAAGGGGCTCCTTTCAAAGTATGTAAAGGCTCTGAGAAGTCCTGCAGTAAAAACTGGTTTAACTGTGTTTAACCCAGCCTTTCCCAACATTTACTTGATTATAAAATCCTTTTGTATGGAGCACCTATTAACATGCAGCAGAGACACATCATTTGGATTAAAATAGGATAAAAATAGTCTGATTCGAGGGCAGATGTTTCACTTAGTAAAGATTATTCTGAAGTAGTAGAGAGTTAATGAACATCTTAAGCAACCTGAAAAGCAGTGTCAGAAGATTTTTAAAATGCTGTCAAGAACTCATAAAATATACATTATATTGTGTAACAATATTGTAAAATGCTGTATGATACATTAAAATCATCAGATTATACCCTATTACCCTACAATCTTCTAATCACATATTTATACACTTTACATTATATCTGCAAAATGACTCCTGTTATAAATATTATGTGTGAATTATAGAAGTATGCTATAACCCTAACTCTAAAGGATTCCATGAAATAAGGAAGCAACAGCTTCCGATAATGAGAGTAGCAGGGCAAAAGAATGGTTAAAAATTATAGCATCAGAGAATTCTGGAACTGAAAGGAACCTCAGGATCATTTTAGTCCAATCCCCTCATTTTAGATAAAAGGAAGCTGTCAATCATTTATGAGGTCTCCAAGTAAAAGAACAGGTGGCAAGAGTGTTGAAATGTTGGGGAACATCTGGGATAGCATTTTCCTTTATGTAAGAGGTAGTCAGAAAGGGTCAAGTGCCCTAGGAAGATGAGGTTAGAATTTTGTGAGAAAGAAGTCTGAATAAGAGATGATTGACATCCTCATCTATGTCAGTGAGAAGTGTGAGCAATTGTACAAGCAAGGAAAATGATAAGCATGAGACAGTCACCTAACGAGACCAAGGGATTATGGGAAGGGGAGGGTACTGTAGCCAAGAAGCTTCCAGACAGTGACGTACACTTAACTGATGGCTCACAATAACTACTTACCTAAAGTAAGTAGTCCCCTATCTTCTCTGAAACAGCCCTGCTCATCTAGAACCCTGCTCGGATCCAATTCAGCCACAGTAATGCTCTGCAGAGTATATGAGTCTCCGCACTGAAGATGATTGAATCAGAAGTGAACAATGGCCCAACTTCAACCTCCTCTCCTCTTTGGGAAATACCTAAGCTGCGGTTGTGTCTAGAACTGCGATCCCTTGCCAGCTGTCTTCTTCCTCTTCCGCTCAAGAGGAAGCTGCCTTTTTCCAGGTTAAGTGGAGGATATGTTCTCAAGGGAAATGCTTTGCTGTCAGCCCATAGAGTCAGGCTTCTGACAGATTATGTGGCCAATTTGTCACTCACTGCCAAGATCTTAAAAGTCTCTATCGCAGAGTGTGCTTTGCACATCTGTTGTATTATAAGCACAGTGTTAGCTCTCTCTGAAGCTGTCAAGATAGGAGGATGTTGCTATGTTCTCTGAAACAGCCCCTCTGGGTGATTTTTAAATGGCAGAGTGTTGGGATTCTGAAATGAGGTGAGATCCCAGAAGAACTAACAAAAACATTGAATGAATAAGTCTGTCCTCCAACATTAGCTGAGTGCTCAGTGTGCCCAGCATTCTAGCAATCATAGTTCATGTCTATTATATCATAAATATTATGTCCAAGTCCCTTTAAAATTGCTTTAACGTCTTAAACTAATAACAGAAAGTAAATTGGTAAAAATGGTGGTATGTTTCTGATGAGACTTCTAGGCATGTTTGTAAAATGAGTTTAGGTGCCTGAAGGAATAAATATTTAAAGTATAAACAATAAAGCCTTGATACATTTCTTTACTGATACTTAGAACTGGGGGCGGGGGATCAAACAGGGTTAGGGTAAAAGGGAGTGTGGAGGACCATGAGATGTACCCAGGGATCCTCTTTCTATGACTGTTACCTGCCCTGCTGGGAGTGCTATTGGCAGATAACCTTCCCTATCAGCACCCTGGGGTTGCCTCACCAAAGGCATGCCCCTTCCCAGGGCAGCCCATGTCCAGTGGCTAGTGGAGGCAGGAGTATAAAGGTTATCTTCCACCAGCAGCAGGAGAACTCTCAACTCCCGGGGTTTGGAGGGCAGGGAGAGCTGAGGACCAGGCCCAAGATGTAAGCATCAGAGAAACTGAGCTCTGAAGATGAACTTTCCTGACCAAGGCAGGACTGGTGTATTAAGGTCAGGGCCCTGGTTGGGAAAGAATGAAACCCTATCCAGCAGGATGAGGACATCTAGGTTGATGGCCTCCAAAAGCTCAAGGTTTGTGGATGCAATCATTGCAGTTGGAGTCAATGGCAAGATTGAAGTGGGTGAGCCAAGGGATCCTGACCTGCAGAGAATGAGGGGACGGCTCGTAGAACGTGATGGGTGTGTTCGGCGCACAGGTGGTCTACTGGGGTAGCTCTTGGTAGCATTTTCCAGTTTTGATGGTGAAGGGGCAAGTGTGACAACTCAGCCTGTTGGAGTGAGGGTCCGTCCTGGTCACATTACCAGGAGAGCCTCTGAGATCCGGGTATTCAGACTGAGGTTGAGTGGACTCCAAAAAAGATGGGAAAAGAGAGCGAAGATGAGTATCAGTTGTGGCCCTGAGACTAGCTACGGCCATGTGGGCTGCGGTTTCCTGCAGGAAGCCCACCGGAACCACAGGGGAGTTTCTTGAAGAACACATATGAAGCCACGAATCCTGGCAGTGGAAGGCTGGGCTGAGATGGACCACAAGATGTTCTGTGCAGCTCTCTTTTGCAGGGAAAGACCTGCGGGGTGGGCAGACAGCCTCCAGATGTCAGACTTGCAAGGGCTGCCTCGGCTAGGTAGAGCTGCCTCATGCAAAGTTAAGTCTTTCTTGGCGTTGCCTGTCCCCAGTGACTGATTAGTGAAGGAGTACAGATTGCCTGATTGCCTGGCCATATCAGGACAACATGTAGGAGCCCTGCTGGTCCCCGCTGAGATTCTCTTTGGGCCTGCATTGCAGCTCATCTTCCCCCTCTGCCCATTCCTGCTTCCTTACCCTCCATATTACAGATGGGCCAAGGCCACTCTTAGTACCTACCATACACACTGCATTCAGTCTCAGAACCTGCTTCCCAGAGACCCCACATGCAACAGAAAGGTTTTGTTTGATTGCGTATTTTGGTTATTACAACTCATATTTATTTTAATAAAGAAGAGACACCTTGTCCTACTGCCTGCCCTCCAACATTTTCCATGCCTTTGACATGTCCTGTAGAAACCATGTGGATTTGGCTATTTGTTTCATCATGGTGCCATTTAAATTCTTCCCATTATCCCACGTATTTCCTGAAAACACGGGAAATTAGGACAAATTGGAAATTATACCTAAAGGCTTCAATGGATTGAATTCAACATTTTTTGGCATGAACGCACTATCAGAGCTGTGTCCATCCCACTGCATCACATCAGGACACATAGTGACTTGTTGTTCCACTTAGTGACCCACCATTGCAGCATTGAGCTTCTCTGCTCATGATCACCAGGTAATCTACGGAGTAATGCTGTGGTCAAATTATTCATGGGCCTTTCTTCCAATGGTTACATCCATTGATGATCTCTGCTTGGATTTCCTTAGGGGCTTCAAAATGATCTAATTCTATTTTTCTTTCTACCTGCTTGGCTAGAATTCTTCTTAAAAGATTTCTTTTGTTAATTATGCCTCTTCGAAGAGTTCATAGAGAAAAGGACCCTCTGATGGTGACAAAAAAGATTTTTTTGTATGTGTGTAAATTTGGGGGTTACATTTAACTTTGCTTTGGTTTTGGCTTTCTTTTTGAATGAGATTATTATTATGAACTGATAGCATTTTTTTATATGTTTAATTGTTTTGATCAACTGCAATTTTTAAAAATATTTTATTTATTTGAGAGAGAGAGAGAGAGAGAAAGCATGAGCCCATGCAAGTGGGGAGAGGATCAGAGGGGGAGGGAGAAGGACAAGTAGATTCTACGCTGAGCCGTGGAGCCCAATATGGGGCTCAATCCCAGGACCCTGAGATCATGACCTGAGCTGAAACCAAGGGCTGGATGCTTAACCAACTGAGCCACCCTGGTGTCCCTCAACTGTAATTATTTAAAATTTTTAAATTTAATTTAAGTGAGAATTTAGAAACATGTAAAAGTAGAGAGAATAGTTCAACTAACTATAAGCACTTGGCTTTAGCAATTATCAAAATATGATCAATCGTATTTACCTTCTCTCCACTTCCCCATATTATACTAAGATTATACTAAGGCAAATTTTAGACTTAGTTTCATTTCATCTGTGAGTAGTTCGGTATATATCTCTATGATATAAGAAATTATAAGTAAAACCAAAAATAAACCATAACTCATTATCACATCTAAAAATGAATAATTTCTTAGTATTATCAAATATCCACTGTTCAAATTTTCTGACTGTCTTTTAAAAATTTTTAGTAGTATTTTTTGGCTCTGCATCAAGGGCATGCGTTGCAAATGGTTTATAATTTCTCAGTTTTTTTTGATACATAGGTCCTCATCTGTTTCCTTTTTTCTCCAACTTTTGTTATTATTGAAGAAGTAATATTACTATTGTTGAAGAAATTTCTTTGTCTTGTAGTTTCTGAAAGTTTGGATTTTACTGATTGCATCTTCAAGGTGTCATTTAACATATTCCTCAAACCTATATATTTCCTACAGATTGGAGCAGACCTGATCGATTGATCTTTCTTTCTCTCTCCCTTCCTCCCTTTCTTTCTTTCTTGGAAAATTACTTCACAGCTAGAGGTGGGTTCCTCCATCAGGAAGCACATGGTGTCTGTCTGTCTTTCTGCAATGTGAGCATCTACTTAAGATTTGCCTCTATTCATTTATCTATTAAAAGTTGCAAAGTGAAACTTTTCTTATTCAACCAATTATTTTTTATTTTTTAGCTGGAACACTTCTGTAAAGAGAAAATGTCCCTCCTTTACTGTGTATCATTTATATGAGAAAAGTAGAATAAGTACTTCTTTCCCTTTATCAGTTTTCAAAACAATGAGTAGGTTCCCTAGCATCCTTCAAATGTGACTGATGTTACAGTGATTTTTTTTTTTTTGCTATCAGTACAACTTATGGATTGAAAGAATTTCAATCTCTTGCTGTTATTATTCCCCTTTATACTTAAATTGCATCAACTTGGATCAGAGGGAGCCCATTCAAGGGAGCTCCTGAGTTCTTTTGACAGGACGCTGGTGGTCTTTGATAGCTTCCTGGTTTTCAGGTATGAGCAGATATTTTGTTTACTATTAGCTCAGGCTGGGTCCATTTGGATGGTATTTTATATTATCAGGCACCTGGCTTATCTGCAGAAAGCATTCTTTGAAAAAGGAAATGGCTATAACTTCCCCCTCAGCCTCCGAGAGGAACTGTGGATTCAGCAGGATTTCCAATTGCTCTCCTCATTGGCAAAGGGAAAACAAGTGCCCTCAATTAAAGGAAGTGCGATTACCCCATCACAGCCTTGAGCAGCACTAAGGCAATATACCGCATGACAAATTACACATGTCGGGCAGCGGGTCAAGTGCAGTTATGAATGCAGAGACAGAGCCATTGATCATTGATATGAATAAAGAAAGTATTCAGAAGCAGTCAGTCTGGGTTTGCTTCCCTGTCCCAGATCTGCAGGGTTAATTCTGAACTAGTCCAAGACTCAATCATGGATTCTTCCGTCTGGGAACTGCAGAGTATTACAAATGAAGAGACCAGACTTGACTTAACTCTTGACCACCTTACAAAATGAGCACAGGCTCATGACCGTAACCGTCTTCAGGCTGTGTGGGAGCGTGGTATGTGCTGGAATGACAGCAGGGTTGACTGAAGAGAATACCGATGTGTGCAACCAAGAGCCACAGTGCACTCTGGCCACCGCAGGCAGTGGCAGAGAGCTCCTTCCCAGATGGCGAAAGGCAGATTCCAATAGGTCAAGTCTCTTGGGAAGTTTTCCAGGCTCAGCAAAGACCTCTGACTCCATATTTATTTTGGAAAGAGGACGAGAAGGGCAGATTGTCAACATGGTCCCTTTGCTTTCTTCATTCATCACTTTCTTTTCATTGAGGCCATTCTATTAAAAATGAGTGTAATAAGCACTGAATGTCAACATTGGAAGCCTGTAGGTGAGGCCGAGGAAGGCCTACCTGTAAACAGGCAGCCCCTCTGAGTCTCGGAAGCCTAGCTGTTCATCAGTGTCTCATCCCCTCCCCCAAACTGGCCCTAACAAGGAGGGCTCACTCCCACTCCGTAGCTGTTCTTTGATAGAGCCCTGAGGGTAACTCCTTTGGCATCATTCTGGGGGGGCAAATCTTCCGCATCTGAAGGGCACATACGTTCAGCTTTTCAGGACTGGAGGGGAACATATGATTCTTCACAGCGATGACCACTGTTCTCCCAAGGAAGCCAGTGGGGAGGGGAAAACCCCTGATGCTCCTTCCCCATTCTTCTGTGGAGGCAGGGTGTGGGGAGATCCTAGGCCCAGAGGATCAGACACCTGGGCTGGGACTTAGTTCTGGAGCTCCTGATGCAAAGGAGCAGGGACAAGGGCAACAATCAAGGCCAGGTCTGTACAAGGGTGGCTCCTCTCGGTTTTCAGAGACGGGGGCTGTGGGTTTTAGCTGTGGCCCTGGCGGCTTCCCTTCTTGGTTCTCGCCTGTTTGTTAACCCGGTTCTCCAGCTTTCCTAAGGCATGCAAGCTACCAAGACACCCTTAATTCATCAGGAAATTCTTACCTTGCTGAGAAGAGCCAGAGCGGATTCCTGTGGTTTGAAACTAAGAACGGGACTGATCTGGAAATGACTCTTTCCAGGAAAGTGATAACCTGTCTCTCCTAAACACTTAAGCCTCTAGCAGATCGTGAATAAGACCTAATCACAGACCAGAATTGCCTTAAAGCTGTGT